GTGTCGAATCGTACGGTGTCGAATAAATCGGTGTCGAATCGTACGGTGTCGAATAATTTGGTGTCGAATAAATTTGTGTCCAATAATTTTGTGTCCAATAATGTGGTGTCGAATCGATCGGTGTCGAATCGTACTGTAGTCAAATGGAACACGCCCGGCCGCGAGCGCCCTGCGCGGGTTTATCTTCAGCTCCTTAGAGGAAGCTGAAGAGGACGAGAGTACCGGGGAAGTCGCCTTCCTCTCCCTTAGCGAGGGAGATAGGTTGTCCTCCTTGGAACCGGGAGAACAAGTTCTCCCGGAACCAGAGAGAGGAGCACCCTCTTCCTTTCCCTGGGATGGTGATGGAGTCGGAGAGGCGGCAGCCCCACGAGGGGGATCGACGCCCGCTTCCGCCGACTCATAATCCATCGGCACGGAGACCTCCGGCTGCGGAGAAGACCTTCCCGCAGTAGGTGGAGAATCCCCGCCCGATGGACTTTCCCTCTTTTTGCGCTTTCCTGCCACCCCCTCCGCCAGCGTGGCTGGGTTCGCAAACGTGGTAGCTAGGCCACCCGCTGCAGCAGGAGGGGGTGACAGCTGGGGCCTCCCAGCACGTGCCGGGAGAGGCGCTCTAGATCTCCACACAATGGGCACCTAGGTTCCGGAGCCTTACACTGCCGGAGCAAGTACCCACTCAGACCGCAGCGGTCTGGTTCACTTCTGGGGCAGAAGTGCCTCGTGTGGCCCGGGCGTAGGCACCGGAAGCACCGCAAGGGGCGGGCCTTGAGCGCTTCCACACGGACAAGTACCCACCCCACTTTGACAGTGCGGGCTGTTGCCAATTTCTTTGCAACAGCCACGGGGCACTGCACCCAGACTCCTCTTACGCCAGAAAGCAGAGTCCGGGCTTTGCCCAAACGGATTTCTGCCTCCCGGCAATTTCCGGCCGACGCCAGGGCCGCCTTCAATTCCTCCGGTGATACGGAGTCATCAAATCCCGAGACGCGCAAGTCACCCTTGCGCGCCGGGCGGCGAACGATGACCCCCGTATCCCGGAAGATCTCCTTTATTCTGGCCGAGAGGGCATCTGCCTTCTCGGCCATAGAGTCACCGGTGACCTCAATCATGAGGTCACGTGCAGCGCCGAGGCTGCACGTGGGCGATTCCCACTGAAGACAGTGCAATCGCCTCACGGCATCAACGCACTGCTTCCGCAACGGTCAGGGCTCCGGGGTGTGCCGGATCGGCCGACAGCGTGATCGCTGCCGATTTAGGCACCCGGAGCCTGAACTTCTTCTGTTTCCCGCATCCAGCGGGTTGCGCCGTCGCGCTCGCCCTTGAGGCGGATGCTCTCTTTTTACTCGGACAACTGAGGGCGACTTTGGAAGTCGCTAACCCAGCCGCCCGTCGAGCCTTACGACCCCCCACCACGCTCCAGGGTTCCTCGCCTCCAGCAGTGGAGGACGAGGGCCCTGGAGCACTCCTGTCTTCCTCGGCTGAGGGAGCCAAACTTTTTTTTTCCGTACGGGATGGAGCCGAAGGCTTGGCCTTTGGCTTTGCCTTGGCACCAGGCTTAGCCCTCGGTCTTCCCCGTGAGCTCTCCCGCAATGTCGAGACGTCGCGGCCCCCTCCCCGGCCAGACAAACCCGCGCGTCCTGCCCCCCGAACGGGGAGGTTCAGGGCCGCGTGTTTGGCGTCTATCAGCGCCGAGATGCGTTTGATCAGCGCATCTTCGGCCGGACGCACTGGGGCCGGGAGGGGTAAAGGAGGTGGCATGCGAATCTTTGCCGTCAACGCCACCACCTCGTCCTGCAATCTCCTGACCTCCAACCGGAGCTCCTCGTTCTGTTTGTAAGCCTGGGGCAGGACACGAGCCGTCCGTGCCCCAGGTTCATCGCGCAGGCGGCAGTATAAGGCGTCCGCCACTAAACGGCCGTCTCGCCCCGCATCTCTTAGGGCCTTGACGTCTGTGCCCTTCAGACGTTTTGCGCGACCCGCCACCTCGTCGCACACGCCGACGGCCTTGTAGATCAGATCTACAAGATCCAACGTGGCGCGGGTCTCGCATTCTCGCTCCACGTCCGTCCCCCCGAACCGTTGGGCGGTACGCCGGAGCCGCTTTACCGACTCGGTGTCTGAGGTTTGCCCCGAGACATCCGAGTCGGAGCGACGTTTGGTCGCCGCCGCGTACGCCCTTTGCCGCTCTTCATCAGCGGCGCGCTTCTTTTCGGCCAGCTTATCTTTCCGAAGCTGGTCCCTTGCTTTGCCCAGGCCGATAAACATGCCATGGGTAGGTGGTCTCTCACGGCGTTCGGGCTGGGCTGCCTTCCCTGCGGCGTACGCCGCGATTGCCGCGTCGGTGGTCAAGGGGCGGAGCATGGACTCCTCACCGGACGAGCCCATGTCCGCGTCCGGTGTTGACGTTCCCGGCAAGGGTGACTCCAGCGCTTCCACGGAGAACGCGGAGTCCGAGGAGAGAGTCGACTCCATCGACTCCTCCCTCCTTCGCGGCGTCAACGGGGCGGCACGCCCCCTTGGACGGCACGGACAATCTCCGCCATCCGTCTTCGCAGACGCTACATAAGTAGAAGAGCCTGCGGGGGACTCTTCCACCCGCCCGTCGTTGGATGACGTCACGGGGGCACCCGGGACACTAACCCTCCCTCGCCGGGACCTGGCCGTCAGGTCGACCTGGTCCGGTAACTCCACTTTTTTCTTTTCGCTCATTCCATATGGTGAAAAGTAGCGGTTTTATATCGGTCTTGAATTTGACCTAGGACGGTTCTTGACCAAGGGTAACGAGCCCGTCCTGCCCGGGTTTGGAATCAGGGTTTTCCTTCCCCTAAGAACACTCTTAGTCTGGCCGCTCACTGAGGACCTGTCCGGCAAGGGAGACCCTGCCAGGAACCATAGTTCCCGCCGGCATAGCCCCTCAGATCGTCACGGTACACAAGCCTGGGAACCACGTCAAGGTGGTGTATCACTCCCAGGTGATTTTTATCTTCTTTTAATTTATTAACATCTTCTATAATTTTATCTAACCTTTTACTTCTTTTTTCTGCACTTTCATAAATAAATGACATTTTGCCTTTAATTTATTTGAAAACAATAAAATGGTAAAATAAATAAATCTGATAATTCTAAGTAATAACAGAATAAAATTTAGATTATATAGCATAAACATAGTGTACAGTCGGCGTCAATGAATGGTTTTGTAGCCCCGGGAGCTAGGGGTAAGAGAGACGGTATTCCCTAGGAGTAAGTACTGCCAACGGGCGCCGCACTAACTAACTGTAGCAAATTTCGATGAATTGACCAATTACAGTATTTACTGCTGGGGAATACCGTCCCTCTTACCCCTAGCTCCCCGCGTCCACAAAATAATTCATTGACGCCGACTGTACATACTTTTTCTCCGTTTTTGTTGGCTTCCTTTCTTTGTTGACATTTTTTGTTAAGAGAGAGAGAAAGAGAGAGAGAGAGAGAGAGAGAGAGAGAGAGAGAGAGAGAAGTCTTGTTCACATAATCAACAAAACACGTATTTCAATAGATTGTAAGAATTATGCTGCCTTTACATGCGGCGTAACTTGCGTAATTTGCGGTAGCCAATATTATATTGTCAAAATTATATTGTCTTAGCTATCATACGCAAATACGCTGAGACGATATAATTGGGTGCGTTCAGACAACTCAACAGTTGCACAACAGTTGAAAGATAATCACTTCTGATTGGATCATACTTTTGGAACCGCAGCAGATTTTGAAGAATAGTCCTATTATAAGTAATGATCTCTCAACCGTTGAGTTGTCTGAACGCACCTATTAGCTACCGCAAGTTACGCTTACGCAAGTTACGACGCATGTAAAGCAGCCTTATAGCCAATCTACAATGAAGGTAGTAAGGTTGTAAGAGTAAAGAAAGAACTATTTTTTGGTGAAAAGAAACATAAGACATAAGAAAATCACTCAATTAAAGCCTTCTAGAACAAAAAGTAGGAATAACAATGAAGGCTGGATTGGTTAATGTCTTATGCGTTATGCGTTATGAAAAAAAGTCTGTGCTTCGGTCTTAACACACTTCAACCACTATATATTAGGAATTGGAATTAATTCGTAGCGTTTTTTTAATGAAGAAAAATTATTTATTTTAAATAAAAAAAAAATACATTAATTAAAGTATTGCCCATCGCTTTCTACTACTATTGACCATCTTTCGGGCAAGAAACCAATACCGTGTCGGAAGAACGCTTTGTCTTTAGATCCAATCCACGAATCGACCCATTGTTGACAATTTTTGTAAAAAGTGAACTTCTGCTTAGACAGGCTATGAACCATCGAACAAAACAAATGATAATTAGAAGGAGCAACATCTGGAGAATACGGCGGGTGGGGTAGGACTTCCAATTTAAATGTTTCCAGATATGTTTGTATCGGTTTTGCGACGTGCGAACGAGTATTGTCGTGCAGCAAAATAACTTTGTCGTGTCTTTTGGAGTATTCTAATCGTTTTTTTTTTCAATGTACGGCTCAAACGCATCAATTGTAGTCGGTAGCAATCTCCAGTTATGGTTTCATTTGGTTTCAGCAGTTTATAATAAATCACACCCCTCTGATCCCACCAAATACAGAGCAGGAGCTTAGACCCATGGATATTCGGCTTTACCACTGATGTAGATGGTTTGCCGGGCTTAACCCATGACTTTCTGCACTTCAAATTGTTGTAATGGATCCATTTTTCATCACCGGTGACAATTTAATGCAAAATACCTTTTTCTTCTCCCGTTGAAGCAGCAGTTTACACGTCAAAAACGCCTCTCAATGTCTCTTGGTTTCAATTCATATGGGATCCAATGTCCTTCTTTCTGGATCATGCTCAAACTTTTAAGACGTTTTCCTATCGGTGATAAGTCAAATCCCAATAATGTAGACAATTCTTGAAGTGTTTGACATGAGTCTTTATTGAGCAATGCCTCCAAATCATTATCTTCAAATTTTTTCGGCTGGCCAAGTCGCTCCTCGTCATCCAAGCCAAAATCACCAGCTTTAAAACATGCAAACCACTTCTAACACGTTTGCTTAGCTAGAGCATGTTCACCATACTTTCACTAAGATACGATGATTCAGCAGCACTTTTACCGCCCGTAAAACCTTTATAACCTTAACCTAGAAACTTTCGCAAAACTCTCTAGGAAATAGGGAAATCAGAAAATGAGTTGATACGTTCGTATCCAGAATATTTTGCGTCTAGGGATTTTCAAAAAACCTCCCAAGGATTTGGAAATCAGGAAATGAGTAGAAACGTTTGTCCAAAATATTTTGTGTCTAGCGATTTTTGCAAAATTTTCTAGGATTTAGGAAAATCAGAAAATAAATTGACACGTATACAGCGCGTCAGGAATTTGAAGAGTAGGCGCGAAGATTCGTACGGCGCTTGTTGGCGAGCAACCGCCCCGCTTGCCCTCCGATTCCGAGGTTACTCTTCAAATTCCTGACGCGCTGTGTACGTATCCGGAATATTTCGTGTTTAGGGATTTATTTATGCAAAACTCCCGAAAATTTACGAAAATTAAGAAATTAGTCGGCACGTTTGTATCCTAAATATTTTGCGTTTAAAACTTATTGAAAAATTTTTTGGAATTTATAAAAATCAGTGAAAAATGAGTGAAAACGGTCTTATCCGAAATATTTCGTGTTTAAGGATTTAAAAAACACTTATCTAGAATTTAGGAAACTTAGAAAATAATCTGAAACGTTTGTATTTGTAATATTTGGCGTCTAGGGATTTTTGCAAAACTCCCTAGGATCTAGGCAAATAAAGAGAATAAGTCGACACGTACACTCAAAGTCAAAAATTCGTTTTGTGGACACGGGAGTCTAAGGGTAAGAGGGACGGTATTCCCTAGCGGTAAATAACACCAACGGGCGCCGCCGTAACTAACTTTAGCAATCATCTGATCTACAACTGCGTCGTGTCGATGTCACTGCTTTCTTTGACTATTTGTGTCTCAAAACGCAAAACTATTGGCCTGTTTCACAAATGCATATATACATGTGTGTGTGTAATAAATTGAATTATTACGTCTTCACAGCATAAAAATTTATATTGCAATTTAAAAGTGTGTGTATA